GCACACTGTGAGATACGTGATAATCATAAATATAATGTAGCACGACATTAAATTACATTAAATAGAAGCGATATATAAGCAAAATATACTGTTACATAATGCAGTTTAGACAGTACAGTGTACAACAATAGAACATACAACGCTTTTATCATCCTAAACATTTTGGAAAATTTTCATTAGATTATTATAACAATTCCAGAAAACCACAAGTAGGCATGTCAACTACATGTGATTTTTTGTTACTGACAACCGAACAACAATTTTCAGTTTAGAACCAGTAACTGTTTCATAAGCATTATCATTCAAATACCAATTTGACTCGAGTTTTCCCAAGAAAAAATAGTTCAGTGGTCATATATTTTACTGGAGGTTTTGAGAACAGCATAAAATATAAACTACAGTAAAAACCCGTGGCCTGACATCTCTTTTAATGATTACCAATACAGGTACGTAACTGGTATTAACCTAAGTAAAATCTGCACAACTCGCTGAGTGCAGCTGACATACAACTCCTGGGCCCTAGGAGTGATCCAGACACGTGCTTAGTTTTGAAATGAACGCGCATACGTTTATTTTCACATTATATTGCCCCTTTTAAATTTGTAGTCAAGTTCCGGAGACACTGATTCATTATCTCGAGGTTTCAAAATCGAATGTGATTTAATTCCTCCAATAGATCCCATGTGCTAAACTGCATAATCGACGTGACGTAGAAATAACAGCACAAACGGTTCATGCCATGGTAAAAAAAATTACAAATCTAAGAACACAGAGCAAATAACTGACGAACATGCAACAGGAACATTGCGTACATAGACAAATCAGTAAAAGAAAAATATACAAACGTCATGGTAAACATGGAATGATGACAAGTGATTTGAATAGATTGATCACATCGTGTTTCACCTGCAGTATATCTTATAAATCAGTCTGAATCATAATCAGATTGTTTCTTCATAATAGAGTGATGCCACGTATATGGTTACTCACTGTATGTTTGCATATGATCTTGCATGGCAATAAATAATATATTAACTGAGTGTTAGCAATTACCAAAAACTTTCACGAATTGTCAAAATCACACTTAATAGTGAACAGTCAATTGCTTCTTACGCTATAATTTAATTACAATTATAATATTTCGACGAGTATTGACGTTTTCAATTCAAACTGAAACAAATGTATTTCTGTGTCAGGGTACGTTATTGTTGCCGTATGTTACGAAATAAATCATCCAATGTTTTGTTGTAATGTTTTGTTGTTGTTGTTTTTTGTTTTGTTTTGCCACTTTCCATTGTAAATTATCCGCACATGTTTGAATGTCTCATGGTCACGAATGTCTGACCTCCGTTTGTTTTCACCGTCACGCACTCGGTGACGTAAAAACCGGGGTGCTCGACATTTCAAGTTGTCTGCAGTGTAACACTGCCTGAAAGTAACTTGTCATGCAAATTAAAATATTAACAATAACAATATACATTATAATTTGCAACATAAATGCGACGTCTGTAAGCTTTTTGACGACTAAGCAGTTTTCGTTGCAACATTTACGTGTTACTTAGTTTGTGTTACGAGCAATGCATTATGGTAGTCAGACAGGGCGTTCGAATTAAGTGTAAACAAACAGATGTACATTACTCGCCTGTGCACGTCGAATGAAATTCGAAGTTAATGATGATTGTGGCTGTTAAACAATAATATTGTTCTTGTTTCGAAATATGCGGGTTTCCTAGTTACATTATAGTTGTTGTCGTGTATGTTGCATACGTCGCATGGGACCCATATCGAACACTATAACGAATGTGACGCTCTAACGATTATGCTACAATTAACGTGAAGGTTGTCCTAATCTGTGTTCGGTTTGACCCAGACGTCATATGGACGCTAATTGTATAAGTTATTTAATACCCATAATAACACAGTGATCTAACAATTTACAGCGCAGTAAAAAAAATACCGTAATTTATGACAGAGAGTTGTAACAGCATATCACCATTAGATATGCCGACGGATCAGTAATTTGTCTCGTGTGTCCGCAGACATACTTTTTTCTGGCTAGTAACTATAACTCAACATGTACATACGACGTATTTACGACCTCCATATTCGCTATGAAATCTGAATACTGGGATAATTCAGGAGATAGTTATCGCGATGTATCATCAGTTTATTTATTGGGTATGGGCGATAATCAATCACGGTCTCAGTGTATATTTTCAGAAGAGACATAATCCATCAATTTAATAAGAAGTGATTTGTTGATTCATATTACCAGTCGACTAGTAAAACTAGATTCAAGGATAGATGTTTTATGATTATCCACGTTGTTCTGTGTCGGGATCAAGTCGTGATAATTCATATTTGTAATCATACGAACATGCCCGCTTTATCGAAATATCCGATACACACGTGATACCAATTACAAATATTCATAATGTGCTTGAAAACAAATATGTTCTAGACTACGTGTAGGGAATAGAAATTTAATTTTGATGAATTACGCGTCTCGGGAATTGTGTCAATTAATTTTATTCGGAAATGAACGCCGAGGTCCCATTGAGAGCGAGAGAGTCACGATACTGTTCCATTCTTGCCTGTGATCGCGTGATATGGTATCAACGGTGGGTTCGATAACGGAAGAGTATGGAACAGTACTTGATAGGTAAAAGCACATTTCGTTTGTGATGAGGTTATTTCTATTTTGCGTATAAATATCAATATGCGTGCCTCCGGTTGGATTAATTTTCACAGAGCATGCGCAGTTAATTGAATTTTGATATTTTAATTCAGATCCGGCAAATATGTCTGTAACGTTCCAGTAATTCCGATGGAATATAGATAAGTTCTACTGCCGCGTATTTTCTACTTCTAGCAGAAAATGGAAACATGGGAGATTTCATACTGCAAGCCAGGTCTCAGATCACTAAATAAGTTTCCAATAACTTTCACCGCAATGTTAGTAATTGAGTGTGTGATTATACACCATATGATTAACAGAGCGGGCTAATTGGTTACAGTCATATGTAAGTAGGCACGTGACATGGGGTAAAACATGTGTTCTTCTGCTGAAACACCCACAAAAAGTGAAAAAAACTCTAGTTATTCAAGGTTACGTTTTCATGTTTAAGTATCTCTGACAGTTGTCCAGATCCACCCACCTCTGTTCAATGTTAGAATGCCTCACAACCAACTTTATTGAAGCGAGCCTCCATGTTAGCCTTCGTGAGATCCGCATACCTCATTAGTTAATAAGGACCCCGACGATCGATATCATGGAATAAGATACCAATCAATTTACTATATGCTCCCGGGAGCGGTGATGACTGAAAGATCAAACTTAGTATACGCTTATTTAGCCAGTTAATTATGCTCAGCTCTGTCGAGAATGATAGTGTCATCGTTAGTAGTTCGTTCGTTTCTCTTGCGTTGTTGTCACGAAACGCTGTAGTACAATGGCTGCAGCAAAAGACTGTATATATGATACTATTATACATCTGTCACAGTAACGCCATAAGTTACAGCGTGAAGTAATTTTACGGGGTATTTTCATCCTATCGTATTAGGAAATGCGAATTCCAAATATGGAATGATTACGCGCGGAGCGTCCTCTAATAATAAAAACAAACATGGCTGCCCCAGGGTTTAACCGGACTCCACACAAAGAAGTTCGCTGATTCTGTTCTAAACATTTTGGATTTCGGCATTCCCCTGACGTATCCTTCGAAAAAAAAGATGTATAATAATAAGCTGCGCGTCGTTCGATACTCCCGCTGTACAGTCTTCGTACATACTGTGAGGTATCCTCGTAATAACCTCATAATCATTGGGTATATATTGACAAATAGGCGCGTTTATTTCATACCCCATATTTGGGAGTTGCAAACCTAACGTTTGACTCGCAATTATTTTATTTATTTTTTTATTTCAATGGTATGTCTATGACAGTATTTTTTTTTTTTTTTACAATATTATTCCGTAAGAAAATCACACAAATCACATTCAATTGCGTTTATGTAAATTCAAATTATAGAAGAATCGTTTTCAATTTTTGCTCTTAGGGTCGTTAGTTATCTATCTGTACGTACTGGCATTTTTTGGGGGGGGCAAATAAAAATTCGGGATGAAGGATGTTGTGAAGGTGAGAAAAAAATGCATAATACGATGTTAAAACATCATAGTCGTTGCACAGCACCATGATCGAATTTTGTGTAAATAATTAATATGCATCATTACGTACGTTGTATACGTTGCATGTGACTCATATCGAACATGAAACGATGTGATGTACGTGGCGCTTTGGTTATAAAATTACCGTAAAGATTATAGAAATAAATTAAATATGTGTAAAAATCTCCAGCCCCCCCCCCCCCTTCTCGGATTTTAAACTGGGTAATCCTTTTTCATTAGTATTAGAACAAATTCACAACACAATATTGCACTGAAGTAAAATGTAAGTAGATCACACGTAAGTGTCGGATTTCACACAACTGGGCTACGGGTAATTTACTGCGTTATATTAATCATATCAATTACTAAATCAAATAATTGATTTCTGGGACCTTGCGGGAGTGTACGTTTATAATTGGCATTTTCATCTTTCTTTAAATCCATACATATTGTTTTCATACAGAATTGTCTTTTTGCCATATTTCTGACGTCAGTATGTACATTCAGGTACGATCTACTACGAATACTAATTATACCGAGAGAAACCATCTGGTATAGATCTGACAACGTAGCGACGTAGTTTCTCAATCTAAAACTGATAATTAAGCGTATGTTTGTGAACGACAACAATAGATTATGCGATCAGCTGGAAAGCGTAATTTCTGTAAATGGATTTTCTCCCAGTAAACCTCGTTAAGTTTCACCAGCTACCACGATATATAAAAAAACAGAACATTTCCTTTTTTTATTTGATTATACGTACGCAGTTACGATAACATGGTTTCTCCGCTTCATCATTGCTCATTGTTCGCTTTTCTATGTCTTCATTACAGTTACAACAGCGTAGAAGAAAGCACGAAGATCGATCACACAGAGTTATTGGCTGCCTTACTGGCTGATCACGACATCCGAATCAGGCCTAATGTGCACGGTAGGGTACACTATTAAACGCAAATGGCCGCCGAGATGATCTCATTGAGGTCGCGAGAGCAACGAGACTTGTTTTTGTGTCTCTATTTTATTCCCACTCGTTATCGCGTTAACTGTTCAAAATAACATGGTAACAGTTGACGCGATGACGGGAGAGAATAGAACACTATCCGAGGCACTAAACCAAGTCTCGTGACTATATCGCTCTTAGCGAGAACTCGGCGGCCATTTGTATATATTTTGTGGTTTCAAAGTGCTAAAAAAGTATTGATTTGGACACGTGTCATCAACTTTCGGATTTGTTTCCCAGTGGAAGAAAATCCCGAATACAATTTCCATAGAGATCATAGATGTAAAAACATTTTGTATCATCAAAATATCCGGGTAACTCGCGACAATCATAACTACATATGACTTGCCATAACTAACAGGATTTTGAGATATAGTAAATAATGTTTACCATAGTAACCAGTAAATAGCATAACAAATATAATTATCAGGGAGGTTTGGTAACATATGTTTAGATTGGTTTTGTGAACATTATGATCATATCGCCAAATTCAATAAAATTGTTTGTATTAAATGGTGAAAAACGTTAATTGAAAGCGTTGTGCGTTTTTCTTTTTTATAAAATGTGACTAAAATGCTTTATTTTTATGTTTTACTATATATTATTATAATATTATTAAGTAAATAACTCTGTAACACTAAACACAGCATTGCCGTAAACCATGGCCTCTTTGCGGCTCCAAATGAGCTACTGTAAAAGGGTTAATTATTAACTGGGTTTTAATTTTGCTTATTTTACTAACTGGAAAATGCGCTAAATTAAAACCCAGTAAATATGTCAAATTGAGCATAGAACACATTATCTAAATGATAAAACCGTGAATTTTAAACCAACTAAATGTGCCTGAAATGCTAAATCAGTGAAAATTAAACCCAGTAAAAATTAGTAATTTTAAAGTACCACAAAATAGATGACAAATCGACAAACTCCTTTCAGATGGTAGACAATCCGTCCACTCTTTCTGTGAAACTAATGCTGATTGGTTAAATTTGTTCGCGATGTTCATGAATATTCATATTTTAAATTCCAAATACGTGTCCTGTATTCATAGTACGTGTTGGTTGTGGCGGAATAAATATTTCGCCGGATGAAAATACGGTAATAGATGTCAGCTATAAAAGAGGCGCTATCCTGGCTTTCTGAAATCGGAAATTGAATTTATGTTGCAATAAATAATTGCAAATAATCACATTATCGGTAAGTCAGATCTGTAGTTACTTGATTATGAACACGTAGGTTTTCTGCGCACATCAATTTACGACCCAATATGTGTACGTGTTCTGTCAGGTAAGCGGTTTCAGTACTGGTATGTCTGGTTGTATATCGTACAACTTCTTTCAAATCTGTACAGGGCCAATACAATGCATGGTGTTATACATACGCGCATTAATTCGCTTATAGATCTGGTCATATATTTCTGTCATGCAAATGTCAATTCAGGTCAAGGCATGTTTACATACAGAGTAAAATGAGGGATATGTGCAATTGATAATGTATTGTATTCTGATCGAATGTGGCCTACTTTTTTTTCAAATTAAATCCAAATATTTGAATGGTTTCCACAGCCATATTTTACATATTCGTTGTATTTTTTCGGTTGTGTTCATATAAAGGAAGGATGTGATGAAATTTTTGAATAAAGAATTATCTGTCTGCTGTCTCATTCAAAACCTACATTTACCGCTATACTGTTTGAAAATCTCAGGAAATTTGAACATATTGTTTTATCAATACAAATGTGTCACGTGACAGTCTAATTGTTGGACCTTGTGAAAATGACTAAACCCGTGATTTACAGAAAACACTGCAGTATGTCGCCTTAAATTTACGGGATATACTGAGTGTTTGTTACTAAGTCCATGTGAATATGTTCCGACTGTTTTAAGTGCCCGTTTTTAAACGTTTGCAAAGAACTGTTTTCCAGCGCAGTAATTCACGACTAGTCAATACGTTTGATTAACCATTATTCCATACAAAACGTCGTATATCTTTCATTGTCTTTTGAATCGTCTATTTAAATTTGAAACGTATCGCATGATCCCAGTGAAGTAGTTATGTTCATTATTCAAAGATAAGGAAAAAGTAGGAAAAATGTAGCGTCTACTACACTATTATTACACAAAATAATTATATTAAATGGTACGATTTGTTGTGCTACTATGGGACATATAAATAATTTTATTAAGATAATAATTTCATAAAAATGATGCAAATGTGGGGAAACATTGTGGTATGTTAACATTCATTGGTATGTAATTATACCATATCAAGGTTTAGGCCATTCTCAAACATCACTGTACCGCAGTATTTACTGACTGTTTACAAATAACCTATAGTTCATGTGCATATGGTAATACACAATAAACAATCCACTGTGCACTTCATGTAAGACTCTCGAACAACAAACGTTATGCAAAAATCATAGACCTATTGCCCCCGTGGATATGTATTTGGAACCACAGCTTGATCTCCAAACATCGTAAATGGCATATTTCACGGAGCTCCCGCCACGATGTTAGCAGCTTGGTTCGGATTAGCATACTATTACGGTGTCCATCTTGACCCTTATTTATAGTATCGGTTTCCCTTTAAGTCTATGCAAAAACATAGCAGTGCTAGTTTGTTTATTTTTTTCAAGCATCTATTTGAGTAGCATCCCGGCGAAATTCATATTTTAGTTATAATTTTAACAAATCTTTTCCATGTGTTTAAAACAATATTTAAACAAATAAAATATAAAGTTTTCTTCTCACTAACTTAAGATGATGACAACACGATCGGATTGAAAACAAATAATTAATATATAACAACATATTGTTGTATCCGATCCTAACTACCATAGATTGAAAAATATGAAGTTGGGCTAAAATTGTTGGATCCACTCAAACGTGTTGATACATGGATTTTTATTCACACATCACAGCAGCTTTAGTTGATGACATTATGTAACAGAATGACATGTAAATTAATTTCTCGGGAATTGATTTCAAGCAAGTGTACGATTTCACGTCGACGACATCACGTGGTTATGAGAGACCATTCTGTTATCACGACCACGTGCTGGAGGGGCAATACATCCACTACTAAAAGCTAAACCCGTTCAATGTTATCATACCTAGCGGCGAAAAACGTTACGTGGATATCTGTTATTTGCATTTAGGGGTCGACCATTATAACCTGGGGGGTGAAACTACTATTTTAGTTTACGATGACGTAGAGATTTTCTAAAAGTCAACGTCACATATGAAAAGAATACACAGCATCACCACCAAACAATGTGTTTTGTGGGTGTGTGAGTTATTTTGATTGAAATTCATCCCTAATAAAATAAGAAAATCAATATACGGAATATCTGAATGGTCTACATGGGAGATGCTATTTATTACACATCTCGCTTTACCATTTATGGCGTGACCCAACATATGTGCCTTAACATCAAGACAAAATACGCGTTTCCCATGCAAACACACGCGCCCGTTTTGTTGGATCGACGCTACCCTCAGCAAATCGACGAGTGACTGTGCATGGAAAATAATCATTACATCTCAGAGAAAAAAACGGTTGATGTATTATTAATAGCTGAACAGAGACATATTCAGATCGAAACGGACTAGTGAGAATTTCAAAATGGCAGCACGGCGGTGAGGCTGATTTGATAATGATTAACCTTTAAGAATAGCTCTAGAAAATTATAAAATGAGTCGTTATTTAACTCCCTGGTGTCCACACAGCGGAATATTGGTTTTATTATTCGGCTGCGGACAAGTAAACATGTTTGATGAATAGCAGAAAATGAAAGCGTTCTGGAAATTCAGTACCGGCTGCACTTTAGCTTAACGGTAATGAGATTACGTGATTCGTGCATTGCATGTTATAAAACCACACTGCCCTTCGTAGGTTGGCATTTAACATTTATTATTCAGCTGTTCATTTTAATACATACAACATAACGGAGTGTCTTTATATAAATTATCATTACTGTATTTTATGTTTCGTTGTTTACTGCCATGCCTCTTCTTTGTGGGTCGCTTTGCAGTTTCACGCGCTTTATAGAACCTACTGTAGGAACTACTGCGCAAAGTGCTAGCCATAGTTGACGCAGATGCGGATAGCAATGTGGCCAATTAGCGCACGCGTGACAAGCGTTTATACATTCAAGCGAAACGGACACGCCATCTTACCTCTGTTATACAAGTTTCCATTTCGTGAAACCGGGATCCAATCCAACGGGGGATATGTCATTACTATCATCATTAAAAACATATGTATAATGTATGGTCATCATTTCTTACTGTTATATTATAAAGGTCATTATGTTAGTTTGTCGCATTAATGCCGACGATCTTTATGCGTTTTACGGCAGAGATACACACAATAGATAACACTCTCGTTTAGGATTTCATTATCTGCGCGTCCTTTATGCGGTAAAATTTAAGTCTAACTAGAAAACACGTCTAACGCAATTTGATAACCCTGCTACTTTTTGTTCCGATGTCATTGAACTTTTTTTTTGCGTGATAGTTAGAAATAACTCGTTTATTGACAAATAACAGTTTTCATAACCGTTTTCGCCATGGAAACAGTCACACACTTAAAATGTAAATGCATTGCATGCGAATTTACGAAACGCCAGATTGTGCAATTGATTTCAATCCGTTGAATTGAATAGAACCGTTCTTTCGCTCAATCGATTCCGTGTACTATCAGCAAAAAATAGAAAACACGATTTAAATAAGGTTCATATGTAGGTCGAGGCAATTATTTTCTCGTGTCCTAATTACTTATATTTAATTATATTCGAAGTGACAAAGACAACGCCACAAAGTAAAGTTGTTATTAATGTATTGATGCCAATTCGTTAGGAGAATGAAGGATGCGGTCTTGTGCACGATGCTACGTATCCTCAAGGAGTGTGTGCTGAATAGCACGTGGCCGC